GCAATGTACATGTATGTAATTAATCAGGGTAAACAAAACATATAGCACACAATGAACTTGCAACTGTGATCACGGATGTTCCTCCATGGTTTGGTACACATGTACATGTACACTTAGAATAATTGGCTGAACAATTTGACTCATGACTTGTGACTCATGACTCAGACTTGAGGCTTGAGACTCGGACTCGACATTGGTGACTTGACTACCGGTACAATACTGCATCAGGGTGTAAAATTTACATCCCGACAGAAAGCCACATCAATTGGGCTGACCTCATGCACACATGTACATGTACATGTAGTGTACATCAGGGTGTTAAATTTACTTCCCAGACAGAAAGCCACGTCTACACCCATACCGGTACATGAACCATTAGAGTACATGTGCACTTAGTTTTCTGACAAACATGTACATATATGTCATGTATGTAAGGTACATGTACCATGGGCCTGCATGAACATGTACATGTACATGTATACATACAGTACATACATGTACAAACTGGTACCGGTACATGTACACGTGTAGTTACCACATTTTATTGATCTTCATTATAGGCCTACATACATGTACATACATGTATGTAAGGTACATGTACCATGGGCCTGCATGAACATGTACATGTATACATACAGTACATACATGTACAAACTGGTACCGGTACATGTACATGTACACGAGTAGTTACCACATTTTATTGATCTTCATTATAGGCCTACATACATGTACATACACGTACATGTAATAACAGCAAAATAAATCATGACCACGACAGATTCATTTTTTTTTCCTTGTTTGCAAGCCTTCATGTACATGTACCAGTACATGACACTCTCCTTTATTGTTCCAGTAACTCTCAATTTAAGGAACCTTATTCCGTACATTTCTGACTTTTTTCTTTGGGATAGCCTGTTTATGGTTCATGGGTTACAAGGCATTGCCTCTCCCGATCCCTGCTCAAAAAAAAAATCTACTGGATGATTATCTAACAACAACAACAACAACAATAACCCCCCAACTAATAAATAAAGTTTTGGTGAACATTCCACAAATATTTTACATACTGGTACATGTATCAGTGTATGTGCCCTTTGTGCACAGGAATGACCAAAGATTTCATACTGGCACCATCCACAATAATTCACAAATTCTTAAGAGCAGAAACAAACTGATGTCAAGATCTCACTGCATAGCATACCCGTAGTGTGCTACATTTGTTTTGGGTTTTTTTTTTCTCTGCAGGTCCCTGGATACCAGAGAGTGTCTGAGCCTGTCCTTGCCAGATTATCCTGGCAGTTACATATAAATTTTATCTTGTGGCATGGCATGGTGCCACCGGTACATGAACATGTGCACTAAATTTCCCAAGGCACCTACCCGTACCGGAGTGACTATTGTACATGTAGGCCTACAGATGCTCCAACTGACATCTTTATCAAGAAGACAGATAATACCAGACAGTTCTTCCATCGTCACTGCACAGGTTCACATTAAGCACTGCACATGTACATGTGTACGGTACCACAAACTAACACACAAAATATAAGTACAGTGTGCATGATTGTTCATAAAGTACATGTACCCTATGAGGCCCCAAATTATTTTTTGACAGATTAATTGTTCCCTTTCAAATTATTGTTTTGACAAACTGGCCATTTTTTTGGTGGGGGGGGCTTGCTGATTGTCACTTAAGGTTTAAAAAACAAACAGCAACCAAACAAGCGATGGCCTCTAGATCCTCAAACATGTCTTAAAAAGGGAATGAATGTGGATTTTCTAAATTACAAATTGATGCAAGTCATCCACTTTTATACATGTGCATGTATTATTCTGAAAAAAAATTCATGCAGGAAGGGCTTGAGACGTTCTCATGTCAGCTGAAGGGAACCTAGAATCATTTCTTTTGAGTTACCATGCAACTGAATATGTAAGTAATTAAGTAATCAAGTGCTTCATATACACTGTAGATATTAATGGTGCTACTGCATGTACTGTACGGTATCAGTAAGTACCGTAGATCTGTACAAAAGTACATGTACCGTACATGTATACCAGTTCATGTAAATGCCTGTGCAGTTCCATAGTTATAAATTTTTAAGGCCAAATTATTCATCTTTCACTCAAATGAAGCAGAATTTTTGAGAGAGATGTTATAAAACAAAGTACTGCTTTGCCTGGGGAGGCTAGTTTTACTTTTACTACATGTACATGTACACTACTCAAAGTGGTCAATATGGTACGAGTACGCACATATACATGTACATGTACCGGTACATACATGTACTCATGTACAGTACACGTACATACTGTACATTTACTCTTCTCTACCATATAGAGTGTGTTTGAAAATTCCATCTTTTGCCAACATTTCTTCTTTCTGTCTGATCAGAGCCGCGGTTAGAAGGCAGTGGCACACATGGCTTGGGCAGTGGGCACATTCCCTGACAGGGAGTGTAATTCCATCCACTGCTCCTTCAAAAGTGACATTTACATGTAGGAAAAAAAACCTGCCAAGAGGGTAGACTACATGTATGTCATGAATGACCTTTTGTTCTTGAGCTGGGACATAAATAACCCAGATCATTATTCAGATCACTTGAAATGCTTTGCACAACTGTATCAGGCCTTGATTAGTTGTCAACCACTTGCTGAAGGTGTTATTTCACACTGACATGCCTGAGGCTCAGTATTCTTTTCCAGGAAAATTAGCCAGCACTGTGCATAGTAGATGCAGGTACTGGTAGGTGACTGTTACTGATAAACACAAACAAAGCAACAGTCATTTTTACTGATTAAGAGATATTTCTGAACTCATAAATGCCAATGCTTGTGATATAAAGAAAAAAAGTACATGCAGATTTATGTAATGTCAAACAATAAGAGCAATATTTGCAAGACACCCACGAACACGTATTGTACGGGTACATTGACATGTATTGTAGATCTGTTGAAGCCTGACCTTATTCAGATAGTGATGATTTCCGTCATAATTTTATGTTGGACTGGATAAGGGAAACGGGGACTTGTGAACGGAATAATGGACGATTTGTTCCACATTCATGCAGCGGAAAGAATCATTTTATTCATTCCACTAGGCTTGACCTCATGGAATAGAACATTCAATCTGTCAACTCATCAATTATTCTTGCATACGGTATAACATACATGTACATGTACACTGTACCTTTGCACTACATGTAATAAAAATTCATTTTCAAATATATATACATGTACATGTACACTTGTATGTAAATTTACCGGTACATGTACATGTACAGCGAGCCTACATGTATGTACATGTACTGTACATATGTACATGTACAAGTATACATGTACATGTACCGTATGTGTGTACAGTACATGTACAGATACATGTACATGTTTGTGGTGAAGTCCACATGTACAGTAAATGTACAATGTACATGTACATGTATGAACAGGTACATTGGACACATACATGTACATGGGGCCAGGGTTACAGCACAACCTAACTGTAGTCACCTTGCCCCATCCTGATTAGTAATGACAGGTCAATAAATTAATACCATTCAAGTGAAATGACAAGAGACTGGGAGAGGGGGGGGCATGCAGCAGGGACCCAGCCCCTGCTGTCATCCTCACACATTTTTCCACCTCGCATGCCATTTCTCAGTCACCTGTGGAGAAGGAATGGAACCACCCCAAAAATGGAACATTCCTGGCCTCCTCACTAAACGTTTACAAGCCATGTACAATGTACATGTAGCCACACAGGAGGGAAAAAAATACACTTGTGGGTGGATTGTGGAGTACTATAAATTAAGCATTTCGTCACATTGACGTTGTTTGGAAGAGGCCTCCAGTTCTTAAAATATTTCTGCGCAGCCAAGTGGGATCCTTGAGTTCAGGGGTGTTTTTTCCACCCAGTCTGTGAGAATAAAATATGACACTGGGCCAGCAGAAGGAATTCTGGATGGAAATGCCAGTGATGAATCAAGTCTACACCACTAATAAATGGAATGATGTTCTTTTAATGCAGTTTGGATTAAGGAAAAATAAATTGTGAAAATTTAAACTTTACAATGGAAGTGGGTGCTGTGCTGGCTATGTACAGGTACATGTACATGCATGTACACATGTATGTAATGCAAATTTTTCTTTTGCAATTTAAAAACATTCAAGAAATGAATTTTAATTACCGTATATACCGGTCCATGTATATGAATTGTACATGTACATGTACCATGGTGTA